ACCTTTTGGGCCAGAAGTTCTTTTTTCAGAAGCAATCTTAAATTTGCAAATTCTTTAGACTGTTGGTAATATGCTGCCCTGTGCAAGACCATTTGATGCCCTCCCCCCAGCCCTCGTGATGCCAGCTTACGAGTGGGCCTTGGAAAGGAGGTGTGAGGCTCTGGAAGGGTCTTAGGTGTGTAGCCAAGAAGGGCACCTTCCCAAAGCCTGGGAAACAGTTGCCCAGTTTTGGGAAGAAGGAAGGAGGACTCTGGGACAGTGCCAGAACCCTCATGCCTTTTTCCTGAAGTGGGCAAGATCTTCTCAGGCTCTGAGAAGTTGCCCTACTTGGTTGCACACCCAGTGTGCCCGTGCCACTCACACTGCCCTAAATCCTTGCCTGCTGCCTATCTAGCACCATAAAGGTAAAGGACCCCTGACCATTAGCTCCAGTCGTGGCCGACTCTGGGGTTGCCAGTGGCGTAGCGTGGGGAGTGCAGGGGGGCCCGGCCGCACCAGGCGCAACATCTGGGGGAGCTCGCTCCACGGGTTAGGGGGCGCAAAATCCACGGGTTAGGGGGTGCAAATTACTTGCCTTGCCCCGGGTGCTGACAACCCATGCCACGCCACTGGGGGTTGCGGCACTCATCTCGCTTTACTGGCCGAGGGAGCCGGTGTACAGCTTCCAGGTCATGTGGCCAGCATGACTAAGCCGCTTCTGGCGAACCAGAGCAGCGCCCAGAAACGCCGTTTACCTTCCCGCCAGAATGGTACCTATTTATCTACTTGCACTTTGATGTGCTTTCAAACTGCTAGGTTGGCAGGAGCAGGGACTGAGCAACAGGAGTACACCCTGTCATGGGGATTCAAACCGCCGACCTTCTGATCAGCAAGTCCTAGGCTCTGTGGTTTAACCCACAGCGCCACCCGCGTTCCTTATCTAGCACCATAGGGAAGAATTAAAAAATTATGCATTTGTTTATTTTATATACCTACATTTCTACCGTTTACCCAAGACTGCTGTTTTTTTTTCAAAAAAGAACATCACAACAATTGCAATGCAAGGTAAAACAACATTATATGTTGAGCAGCTTCCAGTATCAATACGGTTTGCCTTGAAGACCCTCCTTGTGGGTTGTGCCCTAATTCCCATGTTCTGCTGATTAATGTTAGTGTGACAATAATAATGGGAAGTGTCAGCTTTCCAAAATCAGTACCCAAATGCTCTGGGGTTTTTTATGTCTGAAACTCCCAAGCAAACTATTATTTCAGGGCTGGGGAACCTGTGGTTTTCCGGATTTTGCAATGCTGGACTACAACTCCCATACAACATGGGTCAAAAGGTTTCTGCCATTGATGTTCTCCTGCTCTTTGACTCCCCCCCTAACTAGCAGATTATCCACAAGCAGACCAAGAGTTTAGAAACAGAAATAGAAAAATTGGCAATTTGTGTAATCAAACTGGAGTTAGGATAATCTTCTTGAGAATTATGTCCCCTCCCCTCCAATCATCATTTTGGCTCTTCTCAAAACCAAGGAACTTCAAGACTTGGAGAGGGCCTGAAGGAGCAACAAAGGTCTTGGTCTGTGCATCAACATGGCCTTGGTTTTTGCCCTACTTGAATTGCCACATCATGGTGACCTTCTGTAGATGCTGTTGCCTCTTTTGTGCTTGTGCAAACACCTACTCCAGGGAAAAGCCCTTGTAGAAACTGGTGGAAACCCATGACACTGTTTCTCGAGACCCATTCCATATATATTTTATTGAGCTCATTCAGCTGCATTAGTTCACTCGGAGGCAAAACCATTCAGTCAAGATAGTTGTTCCAACTTCTTTCCAAAAGTAATAAAATGCAAAAACGAGTCAAGCATCTACATCTTGCACAATGAAACTCCTTGGTTAATAAGGAATAAGGAATGTTGGTGCTAAGCCCATCGTATCGTCCCCAAACCACCAATAGGTCTTTGGCTGGTGTTGGCTATGCTCCCGTAGCTTGGATTTACTAGTGCTCACCTGTAGAATCACAGGATTCTCCAGGCAGAATTCCTCCATTAGGATGGTCACTTACCCATTGCCAAGAAGGAGGAAGTACTGTCTATCATCTTTCCAAAAAAGAGAAAGAAGGGCACTAATTTGCATAACTTTTGCATATGCTAATTTATATGTATGAATGGATATTTAGAATTAATTACTGTAATTGAAGTAGGAATATAATACATCTCACCATATCGAATAAGAAAGTGATCAGGTGACCTGTGTTCCTGCTCTGCTTGCTGCCCAGCTACTCAATGCTGATGGGCAATTTCAAGGTCCCTGCTGCTCTCCCTTGTTAGGAAACCTTATCTTTATATTTAAACTGGACTTGGACTTGGACAGATATCCTCCTCCAGCTGTCAGCTGTCCAGTACTAATTACCACTGTATGGCATCAATGCAATGTGGCCATAAAACAACAGCATTACATGTCAGCTAACAAATACTGTCAAATGCTAAATAGCTGCCTAATGACAAGCTTCCCTGGAAAAGAGCTTGCACACCCACTGTTGAACTTCGTCTGTAATATTCAGCCCGAGTAAAGGGACTGCTGTTTGCTTTCTAGGCTACCCTCTCAATTTACAATAAGTGATGGGGAACCCCAACAGTGTCTCACATGTATAAGGTTGTGCAAGACTTTTTGTGGTAAATAATTCAATTCATTTTTGTTAACAAACACCTCATTTATTAGATTTGCATACATTCCACTATTAATTTGTTAAATCCTTTATTTTATTTGGTTATTTTTTATTTCAGAGAAAACCTGCTGTTGTTCCAGGGCATTAGTAGAAAATAAAATTGTGATAGCTACAAAAAAAGCCCTCTCCCTCAAAAAAAACAACCAAAAAAAACCCCCACAGACACACATTGCTGTAATGTTTAGGTTATTCTGTGATTTAGAAAATGGTGGCCTCCAAGTGACAGATGCTGAAAGGATTTCTGCTGCCACCAGATAAGGTAAGTAACCCCTCCAAATGAATGAGGAATGGGTATGTATGTGATAACGAAAACTTGCCTCATAAGAAATAACAATAACAAATGGGTATGATTGTTAGCATTTTGTAATGTATGAAAACTGAGCCCCATCATGCTTTTCAAAATGTCATTCATTACAAAATGAATGTGCACCGCTGATAAGGTGTTGCACTCGGCCATATGCTGAAGTTCTTTGGCAAAGAATTCAAGGTGGAAAGTGTTTCCTAGAGGAAGAGAATCTGGTAACTGCTATAACATATTATTATAGATTTGGGGGTCCCTCACCACCCTCACCTGGCTGGAAGCCACATCATCCTAGGATGGAGAACAATAGCACAGGGACAGGGGCAGCCCAAGACATTGCGGTATCTGAGGCAGACCCCTACATGGTGCCCCCTCTCCACCGGGGAAGAAAGGGTGAGAGAAGATTGACATTGGGAACAAGGAAGGAAGGAAGACTGAAATCAGGATCTGCTGCTTCAATAACTTCTGCCACCTGAGGCAGTTGCCTCACCTTGCCTTATGGGTGGGCCGGCCTTGGTCAGGGGAGTTATTGTTGGAGGAAGAGTTTTGGCTGATGCTGGAAGCTGGAGACACTCTGTGTTGGATCCAAAGCTATGACTTGGGGATCTTCCTAGTAACCCAATGCTAAAATTTGTGGAGTGTTAATGCTGTGAGCCCCCCTATCCTATCCTAAGGTTCAATATATGTGTAAATTAAACTATATATCCTGAAGACACCACAGTCTCCACTGACATTCATTCAAACCTTCATGCCAAGAAAACTGAACTCTGGGTGGGTGCAGGCATTCCTGAAGCATCTCACTGCTCAGAGATTGGGGCGTGAGTAACAATAGTTAGCTGTGAAATAGCAAGCGAGCTGTCAAATACAGTCAAATACCGAATCACAGATATCAAATTTTCAAATAAAATATAATTAGTTTTCAAATACAGATCTAAGTTACAAGCATTCAGGGAGTTGCTGGACAACAGGCCATGGACATTTGTAGCAGAGGAGAATTTTGGGAAGCAAATCCATTGCCATTCTTTACTGCAAACTTTGGGTGTTCTGAAATGCATCCATTTACATTCACTCCTAGGCATAAATGTGAAGTGCTCATATTGGGGACAGTGTTGTAAAGAAGGAAATACTTTCCTTCCATTTCTAGCAATGGGTAACCTGTGGGAATTAGACTTTAGTTCCCATTTACAGAGGATGCAGAAGGCAGGCCTGGACTGCTTGACCCTTTAGTTCTCTTTTCCCTCTTATAACGCTGATGGCGCTGTGGTCTAAACTACTGAGCCTCTTGGGCTTGCCGAAGGTTGGTGGTTCGAATCCCCACGACAGGGTGAGCTCCCATTTCTCTGTCCCAGCTCCTGTCAACCTTACAGTTTGAAAGCACACCAGTGCAAGTAGATAAATAGGCACCACTGCAGCAGGAAGGTAAACAGTGTTTCTGTGCTCTCTGGTTTCTGTCACGGTGTCCCTCTGTGGACAAATGTTGGCTCCCTCGGCCTGAAAGCAAGATGAGCACCACAACCCCATAGTCGCCTTTGACTGGACTTAACCGTCCAGGGGTCCTTTACCTTTTGCCCTCTTATAAAAACTACGCAAGACACTCTCGTTTAAAGAACATGTAACTTTTACTTAGCGTACTTGCAGTTGTGGATTAAATATATATACAATGCAGGTGGGTGTTTCTTTTAGTTGCTAAAACATCTGACATAGATTAACCTGTTACAGACAACTAACATTTACAGACTGACTGATATGCTGACTCTGATCAGGGCAGACAGCAGCACAATACAACATACTTGCTGCTCTAACTGTTCACACTCACAAGACTGTTAATAACTGAACCAACTGAAATTGCCACAGAGTACATGACATCACAGCAGTCCTAATACCCTTTCAAACATTAACCCTTTACATATGCATTTTGGATGCTAACATCCCACATAGGCTTCATCCTCGCCAACAGGGATCTCACAAGGGTGCAATTTGTCTCTATTTGTAAAGTATCCAGAGATTCACTGCAGCATGGTCTTTGCAATATGCCGTTCCACACAGGCATTCTGTAGTAATATAACAGCACAGGGCCATATATCAATAGTCTGTCACCGAATGATTTTCATCCAACACGCAACTAAGCATGGTCTTTTCCAGGTTTCAAAAAGTATATGTGAGATTTGTGGAAAGCAGGATTTTATTTGTGTGTTTGGGAATTCCGGGTTGTTGTTGTTGAAGAAAATATCGCTTCAATAAGTCTTCCCTGAAAGGCATTATGGAAAATAGGCTTTTGGCCACCCTGGCTGTGCTACTGTGGTATTTTAAATTTTTGTGTGTGTGGAGGGAGGGAGGGGGGATGTGGCTCCACTCCCTAAAAAGCTGGAGAATACAAGTGGGTCCAGAAGAATGGAATTTTGCCTTGTAAAAAAAAAAACCCTACTCCAGAAAAGCTGGTGTATGATGACAACCAGATGCTTCTCTGATTTTATCCTTCATCTCTTCCAGAAGTATATATTGGCTGTGTCTGGGGTATTTCTCTTTTCCCAGACAGAAATCATTTCTGGCTTCTATCGAAGTAGAAGCACTTTTCTCAGAGGCAACCTCAGACATCAGCTTGAATTCACTGTTTTGCTAGAGATTCTTAAGGCAAACTGTACAGGTCCAGACTCCCGCTGGCAAAAGTGTATCCGTTTTGCTCCCTGCAGTGGGTTCTGAAAGTTCTTGCAGTTCAGAATTTATTGCAGCTATTCGCTAGTCATAAAGCAGCATAGCAATGGCCAGCCATGAGCCTAGCAGGAGGTAAGCAGACAGTAATGAGAGCCTGGTACTGGACCAGCTCCAAGTCCAAGGGGGCCCTGACACAGTCCTCTATAAATGATGGTGACAGTAAGGGTGCTCTAAGGATGGCTGGGAGCTTTGCATTTTAAGTTCATGCAATGCTGCAGAGGACCCAGTGCAACGTTACTCCAGGGCATTCTGGTAAATTTAAATGATGGCTCACAGACTCAGCCTAGGATGAGGTATCCAGAGCAGGCATCAGTGCTGGTGGCTCCTGATTAGACTGTGATGGCTGTCTTCGGAAAATAATAATAACACTACTACTACTAGTACTACTACTACGACGACGACAACAACTACTAGCAGCTTCCAGCAAAATATAAAAACATAATAAAATGGCAAAAATTTAGGACTTTAAAGGTATGTGCTACCTAGCACCTTAAAACTGCACCTAGAAGTGAATGGGCAGCAACTCTAGTTCTTTCAAAATGTCAGGAAAATCCACCAGGCTGAACCTCTTAAAATTCTGGCAGGTGATTTCTGTCCTCATTATAGCTCATCACTGTCAGCCCTACATCTGAGTCCTGTGACTTACTAGGCAATGTCCAAACGCTTTCATGCCTATCTTCATGGCTATGAGGACTCCAGCCCATTTGAGGGAGAGAGAGAGATATCTTTTTCTCCATCTTCCAACAATAATAAAAATCAGCAAAAGCAATGCCATCAATAATCATAAGACTGAAAAATATGAAACAGTGGCACAATAAAACAGTCAAGCACCAGAGGACAGAGGAAAATGGAAGCTAAAAACAGACTCACAAAACATATGACGCTACCTTGTGCTCAGTCAGGCTGCTTGGATGCATTGACTGGCACTGTTGACAATATGAATGGCAGCAGCTTTCTGGAATCATACTGCCAAAGTAGAAGTGACTGTCAGATGTGTTATTTTGCATCTACTGTAACTTGTAGGGTTGTAGTTGTTTTAATGCCAGCTGCAGCCAGCTGGCTCTTCTCTTCTGACACCACTTTACAACTTAAAAAGAAAGAAAATAACCATGCCAAGCACATGCAGTTTCACATTTTAAACTCACTGAAATCATAGCATCATGGTGACTAGAGAAATAAAATGGAGTTTGCCTATGCTGAATGGTATTTATTTGGGAACCAGCAGCATTTTGCTATAAAGGGGGAAATAGGTTTAAATTAAAAATAATAAAGTATCCATAACCTCATACTTGATTTGTTTGCTGTGCTGCCCCAACTGTAAAGTGTTTCTAAAAATAAGAAGGTGGTGATATGGGGTGTGTTTGCTGCCGTTCCCATATGTCTCTCTCAGGAAATGGTTGAGGTCACCCCAGAATCCTCCCTGAGAAATTCATGATTGCTGTGCACATTTTGAATTGAGCCAAAGTGACTTCATCCATCAGTACACCCAGTTACTCTAGACCATTTCCATACATCTACGGGTGTTTCCTTGGTGTTTTCTGTGGAATAACTACCTTTCATTCAGTCACTTTATACATAGGAAACTGCCTTATATGGAGTCAGAACTTTGGTTCATCTAGTCTGGTGTTGTTGACCCTGAATGGCCGTGGTTCTCTTGGTTTTCAGACAGGAGTTTTTACCAACTGTTCCTAGATACACCAGGGAATCTTTTGAACATGGGACCTCTTGCAGGATTGGCCACTGAGGTATTGCATGATCTATGTGATCTCAAATTATTGCCCTCTGGTGCTTTTCCTGTGCTTTCTCCATCTTTTCTCAGTAGCGGGGGGGGGGGGACTTTTTGAGAAAGAAGAAAATGGCAGTACAATATTTCCACGTGAGTATAGCCTTAGAACTACATCCCCATCTTCTCAAAAAGGCATCGTTTTGATATGTGCAACGATATATCAAGATGTTGAACCAGTCAACATACTCCTGCATAATTACCTTTCCTGTAGGTGCCTTTTTGGGAGTACTTCCACTGATCTTTTACATTATACTTTCCCACCTATATAGCTCAGTTGGTTAGAGCATGGTGCTGATAACACTGAGGTTGCAGGTTCTGTATAGAACAGCCACATAAACCTGCATTGCAAGGGGATGGACTAGAGTCCAGCCTTTCTCAACCTGTGGGTCCCCAGATGTTGATGAACTACAACTCCCATTACCCCTAGCTAGCAAGGCCAGAGCTCAGGGATGATGGGAGTTGTAGTCCAGCTACATCTGGGGACCCACAGGTTGAGAACCGCTGGACTAGACAATCCTCAAGGTCCTTTCCAACTCTACAATTCTATGATCTTTTAATATTCCAGAGGTAGCCAACCTGGCAACTTCCATATGATGGACTATCATTCTCATCATCCTTGACCATTGGCCATGTTGGCTGGGACTGAATGTGTTCTACTGCAAATTTTAAAGCATGATTCAAAAAACCTCCACTGCCTTTCTTGTATTTCCAGTTGGCACCATTTTACCACCATTTTAAATAAGGTTTCTAGTGTTATTTTTTGGTCTACTATTGAATGTTAAAGGTAAGCACTGAAACTTGAGTGGTGTTTTAGTGCAATTTTTTTTAAAAAAAACTGTTTTGCAAGCAGGTTTCAAAATGGCATCCTCAGATGAAATGTCCCTCCTAATGCCAGCAGTCATGCCCACCAGTGTGAATGAGATGTAGCAGAGGAAACTACAACAAAACCGCAATACCACTCAAAGTGTGGAACATCAGTTGCAATTCCATTCACAGAAGAAGGGCAAAGACTGGACAGGGCTTGGAGCTGCCCGTATGAAGCCAATCTAAGGTTTAATTGGCATGCAGACTTGCAGAAAATAACCACTGATCATCTCTAGGTCATCCCATGCCAACAGAACTTGTGTTTGAATAACGTGGGCAGTGACTTGTAAGAGATGGAAAGCTTCATATTACATCCATAATGTGCACAACAGAAATTAATGCAAACAGCCATAACATGATGTTTCTTTTATAGTGCTTGGTCCTGTCAAGTCTTATTTATTTAGCCTTTGATCTTCTGTTTTAATTTAATTAAATGGGGTGGAAGAATATATCAGTGTCATGGTGGGACAATTTCATCAACAGCTGCTAATGATTCATTTCGTACATTGCCACACACATATATATCATACTGGATTAGGTTGGCCCTTAGCATTGAGACAATTATTTCTCATTAGTGGTCACCAGCAAGATTTCCCATGGCTTTTAGGCGACTATAATTTTCAAATTTAACAAACCTCTCAATTCCCCTTCCTTTTCTTGTAAAACACACACACACACAGAGAGAGAGAGAGAGAGAGAGAGAGAGAGAGAGAGGGAGAGAGACCAAACCATGACTGTTACAGCAACAAAGAAAGAGGGTGGTCAGGCCTGGTAAGCCTTTAAACTGAAGAAGAGAGGTTGAGGATGTACACTCGAATGGGTCCCACAATCTAAATGACACCTATTTTCACTCTGCAGCTGTGTTGATCACATCTGTGCTACACATCTGCTGTACAGATGTGTGAAATCAGCATAAGGGTAGTGTCTACATCCACTGTCAGTGAGAGCTATTTTGGCTTGCATTTTGCCTGTGAGCCTGTGTGAGTCTTCCATTTTAGCAGTTGGGCTGTCTGAAATGATTTTGCTGCCCCAGGTGAGAATAATCACCTATACAGTGGTACCTTGCAAGACGAATGCCTCGCCAGACGAAAAACTCGCAAGACGAAAGAGTTTTTCGTTTTTTTAGTTGCTTTGCAAGACGAATTTCCCTATGGGCTTGCTTCGCAAGACGAAAAACGAAAAAAACGAAAACGTCTTGCAAGTTTGTTTCCTTTTTCTTAAAACCGTTAATACCCAGGGTAACTTCGAGGAGCAACTCATAGCACGCGGTGTGGTAGCCTTTTTTGAGGTTTTTGAAGACTTTGGTGATTTTGAAGACTTTGGGAAACCATGCTTCGCAAGACGAAAAAACTCGCAAGACGAAAAAACTCGCAGAATGAATTAATTTCGTCTTGCGAGGCACCACTGTATAGGCATCGTGGTCTATGCAAGGGGAGGCAAATTATGCTTCCCCGTCCCCTCAAGGTTTTCCTGATCTTGTAGTGTGGTACAGCAGTTAGGGTATCAGACTAGGACCTGGGAGAGGAGAGTTCCAGTTACCACTTGACCATGAAGGAAGCTCACTGGGTGACCTTGGGGTCAAATACTGCCTCTCAGTCTAATCTTCCCCCCAGAGTTGTTGTGGGGAAGGGAAGAATCATGTACAGTGGTACCTTGGTTTACAACCATAATCCATTCTGGAGATCCATCTGTAAACCAAAACAGGTTGTAACCCAAGGCGCGCTTTCGCCAATGGGGCCTCAAAAAAAAATATGTGTTCGTAATCCAAAAAAAAATGGGTTGTAATAAAAAAGAAAGGTTGCAAACCGGGACACGGGTTTGACGTGTTTGCAATCCAAAACGTATGCAGACCAAGACGCATGCAAACCAAGGTACCACTGTATGTCCCTTTAAGATCCTTGGAGAAAAAAGGTGGGAGATAAATATTGCTGTCGTTGTCGCCCTTTGCAGAGGAACTCAGAGGGACACCTACAGCACCAGGATCCTTAGATCAATAGGGATGGGTTAAGGGAGAAACTGTCTCTCCCTTTATATGATTTTTCCAGTTACAGGCCCCTTCCTCTGCTCTGTACAAACAAATGGGCCCTTTTGCTCCATTCATTTGTGGAATGAAGAAAGGGGGAATTGACTGCAGTCTGAAAAACAGATATCTGGTGTGTGTGTTTAAATTCCTCCTTGAAGGATTTCCTGAGTAGCCTGGAGCCCTGAGGTTCTACTCCCTGGTCAGCCATCTGTCCTGACTATAAGGATTTTGTAGAACTAGAATAATCATGATATTATAGGGAGGCCCTTTCTGAGGTTTAATGGTCCTGAGTGCCATGATAAATGTTTGGATTTTTGCCTGCACTTGGCTTCTTTAAAATCTCCTTCAGCTCAGAATGTGGTATTCCATCGTCATAAAATCAGGGAAGAAATAGCCAAGGCCCCTTTCAGGGGAAAATTTAGTAGCACAGGTAGCCAAGTCAGCATGAGAAGCAAGCTTCGTTTGCAGGTCAGATTAGTGTAAAGACAAGGCTGACTGGAGAGAGATGGGGAGTCTTATGCCTGGGACTGCAGGCATTTGGATGGAACTGCCTTTGTACACTTTAAGACAGGAATGTATGGCAACCTACCTTAGAAGGGTGTTGTGGTACAAGGATACACATGGAAAACTAAATAATAAAAGACAATTTAAGACTGCCTCAGATGACAGATAATGTGTGTCGTTCGCGATGAGGCTAGTCAGTGTCACTCACTATCCAGAATTGGACAAATCACAGGCTCCCATTATATGCAGGGTTGCATGGACCGGAGGACTCTCACATAAGAGTTAATTTATATGCCAGCAAACCCAAGCCTCTGGACTTCACTTCAGACTGTAGGAGATTTGCATGATGGAACATTCCCCTGTTTAAAAACAAACAAACCTCCACACAACAAAATACACAGCCATAAAGGTAAAGGTAAAGGGTCCCCTGACCATTAGGTCCAGTCGTGGCCGACTCTGGGGTTGCAGCGCTCATCTCGCTTTATTGGCCGAGGGAGGTGGCGTACAGATTCTGGGTCACATGGCCAGCATGACTAAGCCGTTTCTGGCGAACCAGAGGGGCGAACCAGAGCAGCGCACGGAAACGCTGTTTACCTTCCCGTGAAAGCAGTACCTATTTATCTACTTGCACTTTGACGTGCTTTCGAACTGCTAGGTTGTCAGGAGCAACAGGAGCTCACCCCGTCACGGGGATTCGAACCGCTGACCTTCTGATCGGCAAGTCCTAGGCTCTGTGGTTTAACCCACAGCGCCACCCAGCCATAGGTAATGACAATTCTGTCTGGTGATCTTTTACACCACCTGTGCTATGTCATTATGATGATGAGGCTGTTATAAAGAAGAGAAGCGCACAGTGGCTTAATCTGATGTATATGCTCTGAAGAAACTTAGAAATAAAGTCTGTTTTTAAAAGCAGGAAGTCCTGTGGAAGTCTCAGGTAAACGTGCACAGAACTGCAGCCTAAAACCCACTTTGTTGACCATGCTCTCAAAAGTTAGCCACCACAGAAATGCACTCTGCAGATGCTCAGAGTCCCTCCTTAAATCTTCCTTTGCTGTCCCTTGCATTCAGAACAAGAACTATGGAACCTTGGCAAGCCAAAGCTCACAGGAAACGAAAGATTGTCTCCCTCCATCGCTTAAGAAAGAGCAGCAACATGAGCACGCCATTGCCAACTGCCTTCGCACTACACACCCCACAACCTCTCGCTGCAGCTCACGGTACCTTCACTAAAGATAACCCCAAGCCAGCAATGAAACTGCGCCCCCCGGAAAGCCATGCTACGCAAATATGCAGCATTCTGATTGGCTGCTGTGACGTCACACTCCAAGCCGATAGAACATTGTGCAGCAGTGTATTCCGGCCGTTCCTTTTTCTTCCCTCCCCCTCCAACCCTCGTTCCGCTTTTGCTCCAGAGCCTAATGAATGGGTGCGTTTGTTCCTTAAAAATAAAATAAAATAATCCAACGTGCTGAATAAATAAGTACCCGTCATAATGTCCCCCGCTCTCGCCTAGGCATCTCCCGCTAACAATTTAGCCCTTCTGATATTATGCCACGTAATGAATTAGGCTTTAAAAGAATTGGTTGACGCTTTCACGTTGCCAGGTCTAAATAATCTCTTGCTGGCTGATGTATAGGCATTAAATTGTAACTCTGGTTTGAAAAGAAATCAGAGAACAGTAATAATAATTTATTAATGTGTATTTTCACTGTTAGACATGATGTACTCTCTCTCTCTCTCTCTCTCTCTCTCTCTCTCGTGTGTGTGTGTGTGTGTGTGTGTGTGTGTGTTCGTTCTTCCCCACCATTCTAAAACAGGAGCGGTTCCTACCTTATGTGATGAAATAACTGGATTATGACCATCTTTAACAAAAGTTGGGAAGACCACAAACTTTGCACATTTATACCAGGAATAAAAGGAGTTGTGGGCGCGATCCAAGAATATGTAATCCTGAGAAACAACCTCCTATACAATTCCAAATATTGTTGGTCTGCTGGGGATTTTTGATTCACCTTCATTTTGAGGGTTTATCCTCTTCAATAGATAAGAATCTTGGAGGAAACGTTATATTTTTGGAAATCGGGGGTATTTCGCCAACAAACATCTCAAGCGCCCTCCCCAAAGGCTGGTTATTACACTTCGTACATGTGTGTTTGCGTTATACGAAGAGCTATTCTATTCTATAAGCTGTATGCGAGAAACCATGACTGCATTCCATTCAAAACAAGGACACTCTGAATATTTGTTATATTTATCGGTCGCTTCATGCAAGGAGCCTCTTCTAAGCGGCGTACAATAATGCAAAGCAAACATGGATTTCCAATTGAATTAACTGGATTTCCAATTGAAATCTAATTGACTTCAGTAAAGAGATGTTGCACCCTACTAGACAAAATTATGCTTATAAACTGTTGTGATTTCTTTGTTTAACAAAGCTGCCCCTAATCTGGAGGATTTCTCCCATTCTTCTTCTAGATATTAATTTGTGGACTGAAAAGGTAAACCTGCATAAATGACAGGCGCAAATCATCTAAAAAGGAAAGCATTGGTTTGTCTTTGTCTTTACTTTGGAACGTAATCTGCCAATTGAATTAAATGGGGGGGACTCCCTCCCACATCCATAGGTGGGATCGGGACGGCAAGGTTTGCACATATACAGTCATTCGGATGTCAAGTATAACTAATTTCCAGGTAATTTCCAGGTAAGTGTCCCACTATCGCAGCCTAAATTACTGGCGAAGGGTCGAAAAGAAGGAAAAATTATACTATTCATGGAATGATGCGTTGGTCACAACGGGGGAAAAACAAGAAACAAGCACATTTCTTTCTTCACTGTAGCCTTTATTACGATAAATTGCTAATAGTTACTCTGTTACCCATATATATATATAATATCTTGTGACCCCTTAAACCAACATATTTATTGTGGCATAAGCTTTTTGTGCGCTACAAGCCCATCATCAGATACATACATCAGATGGGCAAACATATAGGCATGCATGCATACATAGGGATAAAGAAAGTATTGGAAAACAGGGAGGCAAATTTTCCAGAAGCGTTCTGTTTTATCAAAAACAACGAAGCGTCTCCATAGCGGATTTATTATGGCATTGGATTTCCTGAACTGCAGTATATTTTATCAGGTGCATGAAGTGATATCTTGAATTGCAGGTATATGTTTGCAGTGTGTGTGTGTGTGTGTGTGTGTGTGTGTGCATACACTCAGACATCACACACGGTTGGCAAAAAAGGCGATGCGGACCGTCTGTGAGATATTATCTACATATGCAAACCTCAGATCTGTTCAAGGGAACCGCAGTGATAGTTCCCAACAGCAGTAATTGACGATAACATATAACCTTCCTAGCTTTGCTATGCGATCAGGATGTTTACTTTATTCTTCCAGTCTTAATTCTATAATAATCTCCGTACAATTCCCCTAAATAACCAGAAAATTAAATTTGACATTTAATTTTAATAACAGTAACTTTAAATAAAGAGGAGAGAGAAAGAGAGAAGGCGCACCAAAGCACCAGGACATATTGCAAACCACTTCCCCTTATTTCTGCCTTTTCGTTTTTGTCCCCAGAAAAGAATCCGGTGATAATTAGGGGCGGGGGGAGGTCATCTTCGTGATCACGAAGTTTCTGCCTTATAATGCATCGAATGCAAATGGAGATGGAGAGTATTTTTTAAAGGTTTCCGTAGGAATTCTAGAAATACTTGGCCAAAATATTGCTTGTCCCCAACCCAACAGTCTATTCCTCCCACCGACGACTTCTTAAAAGTCTTCGTGAGGCTTGGATTCCTTACGTAGGTAAAACTTCATAGTAAAATCGTGGCAAGTTTTTAAAGACTTCCCTGCCATAAAAACAGACAAACCGAATTCATAATATATTAAGGCCATCTTCCAAACAAACTAATTGAGAATGTTGTATCTTCCGACCAGGAGGACTTACTTTCACTCAATATAAGGATCAGAGTGTAAATAAGACTTTTTTTTAAAAATAAGAAGTTTATAGATTGTTAAGTAACTAAAGATTTCGAAATTACTTTTAGTAGAAGATAAAAGTGGAGAACGTGCTCCCAGGTTTTGTGTTTTTACGTGAAATAAATGTTTCTGTTTTGCTACACTCTTTTTGTTTTCAAAGGCTGAATTCCAAGCTGTGCCAATATTAGCTATTCCGAATTCCGAGTATAAAAATTGCAGCAATCGCATGAACAGGAAAGGGGTGTCTGTATATAAAAGCATAGAAAGGCCCCGCGGCTATCCAAACTCAGCTATTCCATACTCTAAAGGCCGCACAGACTTAAATGTATATTATATTTCTTTGTTTGTAATCACGAAGGCTAGAAGCATGGGTTTTGATACTGATCTGAAATCTGATTTTTTAATCCCAGTGCTCCTGTTATGAGTAGGGCGTAAAGGAGATATTTGCTGGCAGAATGTCATTTCGCGCTGCTTCTCTGAAGAGAGGAATCTTATTATTTCTAATAAGAATGTGAATTTTTTTCAAAGTAGCAATCCTTGCCCTTAAGGTGCTGGGCTATTTCGACTGCCTCTGAGAATAATAATAATAATAATAATAATAATAATAATAATAATAATGGCGTTTATGCAGTATATTTCACAGTTTGAACAGCGATTCACGTATATTACCTCGCCAACCAATGAACACTTTTGAAAACAAGACCAACAAATTCCAACAGTAAGTTAACTTCTTAATCTTAAAAGCGTATCTTAAAGTGAAGTAAAGCCAGAAGGAAATCCGAATGAGCATACAGCTTGAAAAGGGTGCTGTCCGTGTTTACAACCACTGCAGAGAAGACTATAAGGGGCGGGGGGCGGAGGAGAGAAAGATTGAGACTTCTGCATTGTCCATATTCGTATTCGGATCACGCCTGTCTGCAGTTGGTGGCGTGGAAATGGAACGAGAATGTTAATCAACTGCAAACTCTTGGGGAAATCCGCGGGAATCGCCCTTGATTTTTATGCTATGCTTGAAGCTAAGTAGGCACGTTTTCCTTTCTCGTCCCCCACCCGCAGAAAATCCTCACCAGAAGAAAAGGATTCCTTTCCCCCTTTGAGCCAATGGACGTCAATTGCACTCCCCCATCCTAAGCATCTCTTTTAGTTCATTAAAATAAAACCTAATTGCAAGCAGCAAGGGCCCTTTGGGTCTTCTGGGACTAGCTATCAGCTGACTGGCGCAATCTTCGAGGGAGTTGCGCTGCCTCCTCCGCTCCATCCCTTCAACGACGAGGATTGCTCAGGAGAACTTCCTGGAGGCTTCGGGCCCTCCCGTTGCTCAGCTGTGATGCAACCGGTTAGCAAATCCCCAAACTGGCTGTCGTTGCCAGTTTAGCCGAGGACAGCTGGGTCTAAATGATGCACTTACCACTCTGCAGAGTGGGGGTGGGGTGGGGAGGGAAAATTCGGAAGACAATCCTGCAACACGTTGCCAAATGTAACAAACTTACACCCTACCTAACGTTCCCGGTGTCCGGAGCCAGACGAGAACAGCATTGCAGCCCAAAGACAGAACCGTTCCTTTCGTTACTTCTTGTTCTAATTCCAAAACCTCCGCAAAGCCGTCCCTCTATCAATCGTACATCTTTTTAAAAACAAAATAAATTTTGGATAAAGGTAAAAAAAAAGGAAAAGTTAAGAAATACCTTGGATTTCTTCATTGAAAATGCCCGGGTGGGGATGGGAGAGGACACACGCTCACACCTTCTCCCTTCCTACCTCCCTACCCCCCACCCCCACCCCAGTGAATCACTAAAGTTTAATACAATCCTCTCCAAATAGTTGTGGGGGTCAAAGAATGTTTACAACCAGCAGCTCAAGTTCAATAGCAAAACACTTTGCCGACCAAACAGGGCCCCTCCCCCTTCCCACCATTGTGGTGTGCGCATGAACTTGAACAAAAGAAGAAAGGAAGAGAGGAAGGGAGCAGGGAGGGAGGGAGGGAGGGAGGGAGGGAGAATGAAGGAGAGATAAGGCAGTTGACTGAAGTCTCACTGATGTTGAAATGTTTGGCTTTCCCATGGCCACAGGTACATGATAAGGCAGCAGAGGGCCTTGTGGACTGAGTGGGGAACTCAGGCCAGAGAGAGCTTTGGAAAGAGAGACCATGCATAGGCGTTTGTATGTAGATGTTTGAAGTTTATGGAGTTTTTAGGGGGTTTTTTTTTGGGGGGGGAGGCGGGTTAAGTGGATTGTTGGGCATTGTG